TAACTTTTGAAAAACAATTCATTTATTTGTACCACAGTGTTCTGAAAAAATTAGTGGACGCATAGTACTAAGTTCCAATGAAAAAGGTCTTTTTTCCTTTCATGAATGAGTAGTATTCAATTCAGTAGGAAGACAATATCTAAATTATACAAGTTATCATACAACTGCTTATAGTCAACTTATTCAGATTCAGATTCTTAGAATTAAATTTAAAAGTTATACAACCTATTGACAGCTCATTTCAATAAGCAATCGTTTGCTTTAATAATCAATCATAGGCAAAAATGTATATATAATATGTGATAAATATTTTAGCGACAAATTTCAATAAAGGTTGGCATTCGAATCTAAGACATACAGTTCGTTCCATTAGGAGCTTTTGAGCGTTGATGTTCGTGGTGACGAAATAAAACTCATGCCTTTGGCTTAAAAAACACATTTTGTCTGTATTGGTAGATAACCATAAACATTGAGTTGGAAGGCTTGTATTTACCAGTATCAACTAGCGTGAATGGAAATAGTTACGAATATATAATAGTCTAATAACCTGATCACTTCATTCCAAAAATATACTTTTATCAGTTTGTATATCTTATATTTCCATTTGCCTCACAAAAAGACGATATCAATTATCAAATTTATGTACTTTTTTTAATATAAATTTGTCTACGCACACTTTCTCGACGATTGATAATTATTTCAGAAAATATAAACTACTTGTAAGTAGTTCGCAAAAATTACAAAAGTTATTTTCATATTTAATTCGTATAACTTGTCCATAAATAATGTGAAAGAAATATTCAATGACAATATTAAAAAGTTTTATAGTTAGAACAAGTAGTAAAAGAAGCCGAAAAGGCCACCAATTGCGTTCAGATTTCAAATAATTGTCTAACTGATATCGGTTTATGAATTTATTAATAATCAATTATCTTCACAATCCTAAACTGACTAATACGGTCGTTGAGCAATTGCTCATCAACAGAATGTTGTTCTAAAGCTCTTTCAATCTGAAAAATTTTTCGCTGTAAGGAATATTAAATGAAACTTTCAAATTGGATCATAAAAGTTGCTTGAACTGATGAAGAAATCTCGCCCATTGTAGTAACAGAATAACATCTGCTAGTAACCCTAAAGTTCTATATTTGGACCAAACATTAGCTCATTTCTCTCTCGTTAATATTAAATCTCCTTTTCCTGGAGCGCTTATTCATATTATTAGGAATAAACGTCGCTTAAGACTTTTTGTTTAATTGAATTTTAGGAAAGTAGATTACAATATTTTATCTTGGGATGCCGAGAAAGTTTTTATTAGTCGAAATATTCTTAATTTTAACATTTCCATTCACAAAAATGCGAATGAATATATTGTATGTTCTTTATCATGAACTGTTATTATAGTCGTTTCTTGTAGATTATAGATGGAAACAGAGTCATCAAAGTTCTATGTAGGTTAGACAACAATTAAGAATCTGCAGATACTTAACGTCCCAAGTGTAAGACTTCTTATTGGCAATACTATGCTGAGACCACTTAGTCAGAAACCTGATTTTGAACCGCCTGGTTCTCACACCAATACTTAACCTCCTGACTCCAACCAATCCATGATATTGTGTGAACATCTTTAGATTCATTCTGACACTCTATCAAGAAAAAACTTTGTCATATTGGTCATATTCATCTTCTCGACCAGTGATAGCAATATCTTGAAGTATTTGAAAAACAGTAAAATCTAATAACATATCATGTATTATGAAGATGATAAGTACTTCTGCATAGACCGACGACCAGCATTTCTCTGGTTTGCTTTTTTTGGCCAGTCGGCATTATATTGAGCGCAGTCGCTAACCCCATGACTAACCATCCACGTTTTTCCGGTCTTCGGATCGTAAGAAAACCCAAACTAGCTACGGGTGGAGTTAGGATAAGTCCAATATTACCCCATATAATAAATTGTACATTTCAAGCATTGCAAAATGATATAAATTCACTTAGGAGAAAGAGAGAGAAAAATTATTTCTTTATTCACACAACAGAATCGATAAAATATCATCAAATAAACTTATATACATACAGTCAATATGTAATCGATCGTGCAAAGAAATCACTATTCTATTCTTGGCAAAAGGAGCAAATACATATATATATGCATACAACTCAATGCTAATCAATACTTGTGAAATGTTTCCTGTTGTATTCAAAATAACATTTCTACCGTTGATATAGTTGATATTTCAATATTATTGTTTTATTCATTATGAAATAAAATAAAAATACAACTTGTCATAAATGAGAATGTAAATTTTTTGTTCCGTTTATTAACAAGTCATAGTTTTTGTTTGTTTCGTTTTTACTTAAATTTCATATTGAAAATGTCACACAGTTTGATTTTCAATTTTTCAACTGTACGAATTTCAATAGACTGACAAAAATGCGGTAATGACTGGAGTTGAATAATACAATTTTGTTGTAATGCAATCAGTCTACTCATCTTGAAATAATTTGAGTAGAATAAAAAGGTTTTTTCAGTAAAATTTTTATTGTTTAAATAACTGACTAGTCTGAGACACAAATCGAAAAACCAACCAGCAAATGTTTGAATTTATTATCTTATTCCTGAAGATCCGAAATTCTGAGCTGTCAGGTCATTAACTCTAGAAAGGCGATTCTAGAAGTTCTAGGGGATAGTCGTGACTACTGAGGTTCGATTACATTGCGTGTGAGACAGTTGCCTTTCAAAGACACTTGACCAAAGACGACTGATCAGTATTGTCAACGTAAACCACTGGATTCCAATTCAGAGGTCTATAGGTTGGGCTTTCCGCATAGAAAGGAAATTTCTGAATTTTCTGAAATATATTTTTAAAGAATGTATAAGTTAACACACTGAACACAGTTAAGAATGAATAGTAGTCTACATGAATACTGATCATTAAAATTACATTAGAGCACTACTTAAGAACTGTATCAATCTATTTTGAAAAACTTTCATCATCATATCAACAGTGACAATATGAATTTCGACATGAGACTTAACTCAAAATTTTAAAATCTTATAGTTCTCATGAAATATTTCAGTTAAATAATTGATAAATTTGATAAATTAAATAGATATGCGGAAAGATAGTTTAATTTTTATGAATTCAAATTTTCTTTTGATGCTGACGAGAAAATAGGATATTTTTCACGATAGGGTTTTGATGATTGTTCAGTTACATTAAAATCATGAATCGATCAATGTTAGACCAACATTAGAATGAAACATGGAAGAACTGGATGTCCACTTTGTCCTAGTATGTGACTCATTAGCAATGCTGGCTCAGTGGTCTAAAGATCAAGCGCTTGCGTACAAGACGAAAGTCCTGAATTCCATTCCCAGAGCTGTGCGATGAATACAAGTGCAATACATTTTTATATAATCTGAATATATGCTTACTTTTTAAGCCATTTAAGTATGACTAATTGACAGTCAACTATATAAACTGAAAGATCAGAGTGAAACAAAGATAAAAAGAAGAAAAACAGTGTGAATCGCACTCCACTCTGTACCAATCAACCAATATTAGGTCCAGTTTAATTACAAAGTACTTTAGAAATTATAAGGCATAGAGGATTGTTGAACTTTCATTACAGTATTCACCCTAGACATTATTAAGACAATCGATAGAGGTCATCATACTGATTTGAACTCAACCTTTATAATTTTATATCTTTCATTAATAACAAGTTTTTCGCAGTCTTCAATCTTGTCACCTATTAATATTAGTAATTTTTAAATTGTCAATATCGATTATTGATGTTATAAAGTTGGCATAAATGTTCATAAGTTGTGCATTGATAAAGTTTTTACTAACTTCCAAGTCGTAATCGTTCATTCCAATGTATGTGTATCCACCATTTTCACATAGGTAAGTTTTTAATGACCAAGGAGATGTGATGCAATTGTTTTGTTGAATGGTGAACATTGTTACTTTTTTGTATTTTAATCCACAAATAGTTTTGATATTGTCAATTATTCTCCCATAACTTTGAATGTTTTTATTTTGCGCGTTTATGTATCTATCGCTTACTTTATTTATAAATTGTCATTAGCTTACTTTTGTCTGGCTTCAAATAATAAGTCACGCTATATTAAGTGGAGTTAGCACACTTGATTTCTTTGGTTGGTTTTCAAATTTATCCACCTTACTTCGTACTTAGCTTTTTATTACCACTGATGCGCAGACGGAATTTAACGGAAGGTTTACATTCATGAAATATTCATTCGTTCATCTAATTTGGAGTCAGATGACAGGCCATAAAAATCTAACAATCTACCTAACATTACAATATTCAAATCGGTAGAGCAAAATTGTTTCGGTAAAATTCCATTGTGCTCATAGTTAGGCAGTTCAATACACATGACATTACATAAAGTTTACGCAATATTTTGAACCGATTCAAGTACGAAATGTAAACAAGTGTACGGCGATTTAGTTGTCCGAAGAAAAAGCGTTCTCAGTTACAGAGACTTAAAGAGACTGTATTTTATTCCCGAAGGATTTGTGAATGCATACTCTTAAAAAGTTCAATACTAACATGAAACAACTGTCCACTACTCCATGGTCTTCATTAACTGTTCCATTAGGATCGGTTGATGATATTACCTATTAAGATAACTTAATATAAATATATTTAAAATAAATAAATACTTTGAAACAGCTATTTTTCAATTGGTTCAATCTATTACTGCATACATATGAATGCACCAATCAAAGCAAACTTTAATTTCAGATTGGTCAATGTTTTTAATCGTAAAAACTAAACATTCACATAGAATGGCTTTAAATAATTTTTAGAATTTTAAACTGTTTTTAAATAATTACTGGAAATTACGTACCGTTTATTTAATCTAGTCAATGATTACACATTTTAATGTTTTTTTTGTAATCAAAGAAAAATTCCAGTCATAGACGATCAGTTTCAAGGCAGAATAAAATATGTTTCACAATAATTAAATAATGAACAATATTATATTCAAAGATTCAATTCTATCAATTTATTTTTTTATATTATGGATTAATGCTGATGAATTTCATGTTGTTTCTCCAGGACCATGTCTACAAGAGGGTGATGCATACTGTATGCGACGTGTTGCTAATAGTATGTGTTCAACAGAGAAAAATGAATGTTTCTGCAAACCTGGCTATGTGTCAATACAAGAAAATTATGGAATCACTTGTAAAACATGTAAGTAAACAAAATATTGTTGTGAATTGAATAAAATATACACCACACATCCTACTTACTTAGTGGTCTAAAAGCGAAGCACTTCCCTCAAAATTTGTATTCGCTGAGTTTAATTCCAAGTGAAGTCGTTGTTGTACATTATCACTGGGAGATTTCGTAGAGGCACAAGGGGTCTGTTCAATAATACCCAGTTTCTCCTGATTGTCTAGCCAAGACCATGTTAAGATGTAAACTGTGGACTGTGCTTAGAGTCTATATTATGTAACGACATTGTTTTCTATTAAGAATTCAGAGTTATCAGCCGTAAAAATTAAGCACAATGAGATATACTTAAGAGTTGCACGAAATCCATTTCTATAGTTGTGTACCAATCAAATATGAAGAGCACTTGACAAAAACTCTAACAGTATCAAAATAATTTATCATGATGTTACCGTTGTAACTATTGAGGGAATATACATCATAAATAGCCATTTCTGAAATATAAATACGAGTCTTACTTATACTGTAAACAATTGCTACATCTAGAATATCACACCGCATAGTTTACTGTGAAGTATGTGTTATGATGATATAGTATGCTATCTATTCTGTAGAAAACTCAATAGTATAATCTTAGTAGTTAATAAGTCAGAATTTATTTTCACTGAGAGGAAGAATTTTTACAAAACTATTAACAGCTAGTTTGATTTGTAAGATCCCTGATAACTGATTTCGTAATTTACTTTGTGAACTATTATGGTACATTGCAACAAATTAAAACCCTAGTGATTATTCGACTCAAGTCGGCAATGTTAATCTTAGAATTCTATAATATTTGAAAACCTCCCTTTTTGTGTTACTGGATTACTTGATAACTGATCATTAAGAGTTGTTTGGACAACTGAAACAATCCGTTAAACGGGACACCTGATTCAATGTTACTGACTTAATAGGAAGTTATTTATCAGTCATATGATCAGAGCTTGTATGGCTGGAATAGCCTAAACAGAAAGTGAACAACGCTCCTAAAACACTGACACTTCTCTAGAATATTGTCAGAGTTAACATAATCGACCAGTTTTCTAACGTGAAATGTGTTTACAAAATGTTTATTCAGTCAAGGATGCCTTAGAAATTACTATTTCAATGACCATATCTAAAACTTAAATCATTATTTTAGTATTTTTTCTGGAAAGTGAAAAAAAACGTTGAATTTCTATGAAAGAAATTATGTCACTAAAAGGTAACCAGTTGGTATACTCTTGTAGTGGAATACATTATCGAGAGTAAAAATATTGTGTTATCATGTAGTGTATTTCATTGCGATTTTTGACTCACAAATCGCATAAATATTCAGCCTAATGAGGACCTAATTGGAAACAAAATATTTTACCTTATTATCTAACTTATTCTAATTTTCAAAAATGCTAATCCCTAATGCTATAAAAGTAATATTGTGAAAGCAGGTTAAAAGGAAAGATTAAGACTTATCTGACCACTGAATCATTCTACTTTCAATCTATATCTTGATAAAATCTATCAGTTAATTTTACAAGAACCGTTAGATCAGATGATGTAAGGAGGTCAAAGCAAGAACGAAAATTTCAATCATTTTACATATCGGTCGAGAATTCATTTTTTTGTTCACTTTTGAAACATACAGCAAAGTATACTGAATAGATTAGATTGAAGGAATGACAATGTTAATGAGAAGTATTTGGTTTCTATACGACAGTCAATAGTCATTTGCTTTAACATGAATAAATCCTGTTTTCTAAGTTTGATAGTGTTTGAAAATAGGATCCAGAACATGGTGTTTATCTTCCTATTGTGGACTTGTTATCTGGGTGCAACAACACATTCTTGATGAGTGAGTGATTCACACTGAGACCCAAACGTAGTATGTGATGCTTGGTACTTTAAGTCGACTTAATATTTTGTACGGTAGCAAACCTTCGTCATTTTTTTCGAATCGCTTCGTTAAATTCCTAATATTTTGCTTAAACTATGAATATTTTCTTACATTTAAAAATTCCTGTCAATTGTTTAACAATTCATGTGCTGAATACGTGAATAATAATAAGATTACCTTTAATTGTTTATATAAATTATTTCATTCAAGTTATTTCTTTTTTTTCTAGTGTTAACAAATTTAAAGTGTCAGGTGGACAGTGATTGTGTACATGTAGTGAATAGTGTATGTCATCCAGGAGCAGGATATTGCGCTTGCCCTAGTGGAACAATTTATGTATCTCAGGATAATGCATGTCGTAAGTAATCATTGAATTTATAAATACATATATACATACATACATATACTGTTGTTCATTTGATTTGAGTTCTAAAGACTCATTGTAGTAATTATAAATATCATAGACTTGTATTCATTTGCTGCTAATCAATATATATTGTTACTGAACCAAAAACTTAAAGTTCTCCCATATCTAACAGGAGTAGTATGATAGTTAAAATATTTAATTATTAACCGTTATTGTGTAGATTCGAACATTTCCTCATCTCTTTAAATTTCAATATTATCAACCTACTTAATACTATTAATTTTATCTTAGTTATAAAGATAAATAATGACAACAAATATGAAATAAACGAATTTCGCATTAAAGAATTAAGGAGACTGTTGTTTCTCATTAGAGCATTACTTCAATCATTGTAAGACTACAATTAAAAATCAGTAAGCATTGGTCCGCCCATTCCGTACCAGTATGAGACTCTTCAGCAGCACTCATCCACGACTTCCGCTCGCAGCAAACAAACACAGGAACTAAGATTGAATAAAGTTAGATATCAAGACCATTCAGTTGCCTATTCAGTGATTTAGAGGTTATTCGTTCATTTAAGAGACCGAAATTCCGTTTCTGCAAGTGAGAACTGCAGATGAGCAATTTTTAAGAGTCCCGTACAAGAACGAAACGGCTCTCCAGTGCTTTCAGCTTTCTAATGGTTTTCCAACAACGACTGATTTACGATGACAATGTGAGATTTATTTTTGACTTATATAACAAAGGTTCATCATTTATTTGTAACAATTAATTATCATATTATAATTATTAAATAAATAAATAATTAAATAAGAAATAAGAAATAAAGTTTAAACTTCAAATTAAAATAATAACCGAATATCAGTTGAAATTTACACTGAAACATTTTAGTATTAATCACAAAAACATACTTTTAATAGTGTTGAATGATCGAAATGTGAATAAATTCTCATACAAGAACAAATTTATCCCAATTTTTTCTTTAAAGATTATAATCAGTATAAAGTGATTAGAAGAGAAAATAAACTGAAAATTAGTTATTATCTCGTTTGATTTCTTTTCAATGCAAAAAAAAATTTCTCTCACTTCGATTATCAGCGTATTATTGAACATTATCATGATGACGCTTCGAAAGAATGTAGTTTTTTCTTATATTAAAAATGAAGTTCAATACTCCCTTTTTAATTTAGTATATTTTAAGTTCATAAAGATTTACTGGTGATTACCTTGAAAAACTGGAGTTTCAAAGGCTCAATATGTTTGACTTTAAATCGGTCTTAAATAATTGATCTAATATGAATTTCTATTGTAGCTCGACAGTTTGCTGTAATTCAAAGTTGTTTTTCGCTAAACTGAAGACACATTTTCTATATAAAAGTAATTTTTCTCTCTAAAATACAAGCAATATTCTCGGTATTGTTATTGGTCAAAAATGGATTTCTATTCTAGAGAGTCAGTTAAAATCGATAAACTTTAAAGAGCTGTTTTGAACTGCTGGGAAGTGAAAACTCAGGAATAGTACGAAATAATTAATTGGAATTATCACTGAAACTTATATTAACTTTAATTCATTTGTCTGGTGAATGAGACGACCCTGAGACACTATCAAGAATATCGATTTCACTTCTGCAATAGTTCAACTATATGCAATAGTTTTCGCTTTTACATGAGTGTTACTCTGATATTTTTTAGTTTGTCGATCGAAATAATAAAACTTATAATTAAAAATACTTCTAAAGCTTAAATCAAAACATCGATCATTCATTTAAATTAAAAAATATTTGTACCCATGATCCAAAAATGCTAAATAACATTGAGTGATACTGTTTAATTGCTTGAAACTTCATTTAATCACGACAAAGCAACTCTACTACAAGTTATATTTTTCGTAAACGTCTAAAAAAATATTGTCGATTGTCAATATAAATGTCCTATGTTAATTGTTACTCTGGTTGTCAGTGGGGGCATCAACTTCATGGCTTCCAAATAAACTTGACTTTCACCATGAGGCGTGATAATGTTTCTAAATGAAGACCCTCTAACTCTTAGGAGAGATTTTATATGATTTCAGTTATTTTATCTGTTTAGTGCTTTCTAAGCATGTCACTTTTCTGCCGGATAAGTTGGCCAACACCATGCCCAACCCTTCTCCTTTTTCAGGGCTTGAGAGAGGCAGTAACCCTAGAAGTGCTTGTCTGGTTCCAATTATTATGCAATGTCTGTGCCGATTGTTGATGTTTAGGGTTTACTTAAACTGCTGTATTTCATTAGATGATCATTGAAAACCAGCTCGTTTGCTACAAGACTGAATTATCCCTAGTTCAAGCTCTCAAAGATGGTTGAGGATGCTTACTAATCAGCAGTTCCAAAGTGCATTCATGTAATTATCGACGGCTTCTAGGTTTTCAAATGTTGTCTCACTAAAATTAGTTGTTAATGAGAGCTATTTAGTTTTTATTTCTTCATAGACAAAATTTTGGTGAAGATTACAACAAATTTTGTTGATAAAATAAATAAAATAAACTCTCATGAAATAAAACGTTTCAAAACTTCATGCAAGTATAATTAAGCAGTATTTATTAGTATTTCCAATCATATTTTTTGAAATTAAGCCCATGTGAAGTTGTAAATATCACAATAATAATAATAATGATAATAGTAAGATTTTCGTCGTCATCATTATTATTGGCCATTTTTGAAATAAATATTCTCACAAAACTAATTCCCAAGTAAACATTTTTGCAAGATAAGATCACTGAAATTTCCATGATTTGGCACAGACTTTACTGATCAAAACATTTCATGTAGTTTTTTTAATTTTAGGCCAGTATAAAAACAAAAGTTGATATAATATTGTAGACTTTCACATTATCGAACGTTGTAAATTGTGAAATATTGTGAATAAGTCTTGTGAAGCACATCTTGGATCATTTGTTTTCACTTATTTCAACAACAATATACCAACCAAATGAAGTCATTTATTTGATATGATTCAAAACAATCTATTCAGTCAAACAGTACTCTGTGATGTGAATTAAAGAATATCATATTACTAGAAATATGCGTTTAGTGATCGAAGTGACAATTGCATGTGCATTCGACTGTTTACTTTGTTTCTTTCAGATTATTCTACAAGAACGGCATGTATTAAGCTTGATGTCGAATGTATTGAGCTGATAGCTTTCTCGCCACCTCCTAACTAATAATATCAGTCAACTACATCAAACTAATGTTACAACAAATAAACCCTGTCTACATTTTCTTGAATAACAGTTACATTTTCCAAGACTGATGGGAATTATAGAGCAAGATTCATTTCTTTTTTCAGCGTTTGATTGTTAACGAAAATCATGGGAAAATAGCTATTTTATTTATCCATCACCTAATACTACTTATGTTACTTTAAACATTGGCTATTTTTATAGTACAGCTGAGACAGAAATTGCCTTCGCTAGTTTTCCAGTGCTGATTAAAAATTACCGACTTCAAATCAAAAGATTTACACGAATTGAAATTGATACAACCGATAGGTCTGACATTTCTAGCTAGTATTTACTTCACTGCAACTGAGTACTATATATATTTATGGACGAAAATGTGGTCAGACTGATTTGCTACTCTTACCTCTCACTCCCTACTTGTCTAACCGTGACCGGACTAAATATCTGGGGATTGAGGTGCTATCCATTAGATATAATGTTGTTGAACACAACCAGTAAAACCTGTTGTAGCCTAGTTTGATCATCTAGATTAGTCCGTGTTGTAATTGTACATATGTTAAGTAAATATGAGTGCTCTTTTCTAGCATTGAGATTGATTAAATCGCACCTTGATAATTGAAACAAATCTATACTTCCACCAGTTCAAATGTGTTAGATTTAATAATTTTAAAAAAACATACATAAAATGAATGATTTATGAAAGTAATATCTAAACAGGCATCACCAAAACGATATTCGTAATCAAATGTTGTTGTCTAAACATGAGTTGTTGATATGAATAGTGATTATTTTTCAAAATGACACTCAATTAGTTTGCAAGTTGAATGAAACTTTCAAAAAGGAATTTGTCAGTAAACCAGCTACTTTAAAGCATAGAAATTCTGCGTCAATAAACATCGTTATTTTTAAAAGTAATATTTAAAGTTTAAATAATCAAAATTTCTGTTTTTCAATTGAGTGACTTCCAACTTATTAGCATCGTTGCCATATGAAACCATATATATTCCTTCAATAAATACTACTATCACAGAAATTATGAGCCCATCTTGGTTAGACCATCATTAGAAACCTGAAAGCATTAGACGGCCGTTTTCTTCGAGTGTGGAACTCATCAGCAGTGTCCCTCCACGCGAGATTCAAACTCCCTACCTTCGGTTTAGCGCTCGAACTCTTAACTTCTAAACTAATAAACTAAGATGAAACAGTGTTAATGTCTACAATCAGTTGAAGGTATTTCGCAACTGAATTCATTCATGCATGTAACTGCATACACCCGACAGGGTTGAACTCCAGTGGTCATGGTTTTTACAATGGAAATCACTATCATAGTTACTTTACAAATGATCTTCTTTGGGATTGTTTCTCTATACACAAGTTCGTAGCCGTATTTAAGTTTGCGACATATCGTAAATGCTCGACAACTGAAATCGATCCTAGAATAAAATGTACTGAACGCTTAATTCAACGTAAAAATGTACAATTTTTATTTGGTTTCAATGGCTTGAAGGACGAATAAATAATTTCCTACCAAATCTGAGGTTAACAAACTTTTCAAAGCCAATAAAATATTACTAGATAGATTCATTACATTGACTTATTATATTATAATACATCAGTAGGCAGAAAAATCTGAATCGTGTTTTTTTTTCAAAAGGAACGTATTTGTTGAGTATGCAAAGGTTCATCATCCATATTTAAACTTCCAAAAAAGACAAAATGCAAAATGCAAATAACGCGAACTTGAGAAATAAATAAACTAACATTTTAAATCACTGTATTGATCCAAATTAATTTTTATCTGCATGTGTATGTGTTTTGGTGAAGTCAATGTTTTGTGGACAAAATACTCTATATTCCTGATGTTAAACTTCAATATATATATATATATATACTGATCGTAACTGCATGTAATGCTTACTTCAAAGTAATTTGTAAGTTTGTTAAATTAAGTGCACGATTTGGTCCAGTTTCTTACTAGTGTAGTTAAACACGCAACTGTTGATTATTTCCGTATAAAATTTTAAAAGTTTTCACTGAATACTTTGAGTTTTCTTTACTTTGGATTATTGTTCATCCAAAGTCAAGTTTTTTTTTACAATGAAAGAAGCGAAAACTTTCTGATAAATAATGCATAAATTCTATAGTTCAATAATGTACTTTGTGAAAAAAATTAAGAGTTATATTTCATGGTTAATTAGTGAGACAACTTGTCATTTGACGACGATTCAACCATTAAGAAACTGATTTAAGAAAGATATATTTCTACATTTTAAAAATTATTTCTAAAAATTCATTTTTCAGATTATTATTTAATAAATAAAAAATATGTCATTTTAAATATAAACATGTACTTAACTCTTGGAATAACTGAACAACTCATATTGTAGATAAAGTAAATACTGATGATATTGTTGAAACAGTTAATGAAAGCTCCACAATTGAACTGTCAAGCTTATGGGATTTTAAAACACACTAAATGATCTTGTCTTAACAAAAAGGCTATTCCCTCTCAAAGTTTAAAAACATGAAGTTCAACAGAAAGATCTCTTTTCTACGAATTTATTATCAACTTATACAGTCAGGTTACATAATCTTTCCATCACACCGACATATTGATTCACTGTTCCTATGCCGTTCACGAAACTAATATTTCAAACATTTCATATTACAGATATATATATATATATATATATATATATATATATATATATATATATATAGAGGATATTTTTTTCAGATATACTGAGAAAACATCATCAGAATTCGTTAACTAGTTCTCGTAATCATTTAAAATCATCCGAAGTGCGACAAGATGATAGAATATGAGAGTCGACAATCTACATGACTCCTTATATTAGTCATTTGATAAATTCCAAAACAATGACGACATTACTAAGGATCAGTGATGTCCGTCCAGGTTATGAATAAGGCAAAATTTCATAACCCGATTTTCCTCTTCACTATTATTAGTAACTAACTATTGTATATGAATTGGTCACCTGTCATATTCTAACCTAGTTTAATAAATTCATTAATCATACTCTTTCCGGTTAACACACAACAATGTATCATGCCATATTTAAACTTCATAATTAAAAATGTTTAACATATTGTAGTATAAAATACAAGTCTGTTCTATTACTTACTTCTATAACCTTATATTTAACAATAAATTTCACAGGGCAATCCGCAGAGAATAGTCAAAATCCATTCTGTTTGAAATGTCGACAAGCCAATGGAGTTTGTTATCATTATTCTTCTACTTCTCATTTATTGAATCCAACAGAAATTAAACAGTATAAACGTTATGAATATAAAAATAGTCATTTAATTCCTTTCAACAGTCATGTAGATGTAATGTTTAAAGAAATTTCGAAATATTCTGAAGAGTAAGTTTAATTTTATTTAATTAAAAAAACAACTTGTCTCATTTTTATTAACTTGATTAGTGTAATGAAAATGGAAAGATTATCATATTGTTCTGATGTCATTCAGTTTTTCATCAAACTACTTAAGTTTTTATTCATTGTCTAATGTTTTCATAATTATTCGATACAATTAAATGGACGGTTGTTTTTGTGAATCTATTTTGTAGAGTAATTTGAATATAAGTTAATATCTTGAAATATATAAGTTCATACATAGCATCTTAACTTACGATTTATACGGAATATTGCATCCGAATAAACACACGACTAGAGAAAATGAAATAAACTGTGTTCATAGAGATAATCATTTCATTTTCCTGTGATCACTAGATGGATCACTAGACAGATCTGATATACCAGATAATGATTATTAAGTTGTTAATTATTTTGTGTCCTATAAATCAGTAGACTTAATACATTTACATTCATAATAAATGTATGAAAGGTCATTTGAATAAATACTCCTTTCATATTCATTATCAAAAAAGAACACTTAGAAAAATTATTATTTTTTGGAGTCTTCCATTGAGTTATGCAAAAACATTTGATATCGTCAATCAATCATTGTTAGATCACCACTGGAAACCTGGAAGCACGTGATGGCCGTTTCTTCCAAGTATGGGACTCATCAGCAATGCGAATCCACGACTCCTGCTCCCCACAGGATTCGAACCCTGGGTCGTCGGTACTGTGCGCTAACGACTAACCATCGGACCACTGGGTCGGCATCCAACGGTGTTAATGTCTAACTCTGATTGATCTAGGGATTTTGCGTGACCCCACCCATTTGTCTTTGGTAGTTACTACCAACACCCGACAGGGTTGAACTCCGTTGGTCACGTCTTCTCAACTAGAACTCCGAGAAGTTCCTCACGAAGCTAGTCACTAGTGAGCACTGTTACGATATTTCGGGGCAGAGTTTTGGAGGTTTGTGTTTTTACACATTTGAAATCATCAACCAATCATTGTTAGACCACTATTAGAAACCTGGAAGCAATGGACGGCCGTTTCCTCCTGGTATGGAACTCATCAGCAGTGCGCATTCACCCTCCAAAACTCTGCCCCGAAATTATGCAAAAACGTTGCATTTCTGCTTATCATCAAACAACATGCTACATTGTTTGTTATTTTTCGTGTCTTTTAGTGGAGAGACGTATGGATGCAGTTGTCCACATAATACTGGCATGTTAGCTTCATTTTCAACTAGTGATTTTGAAGAAAATGTAAATCAAACTCATTTACAAGAACATCATATTTCTATGCCATTCAACAAACTTGATGACAATATGTCATTGTCAACATATCAGATTGTACAAAAACAATTTCCTCAGTGGTATTTTTGTAAAGCAATGATGGGTAAGTCAGTTAGCAGAGTTTACTGAGTAATAAATTGCTTTTTTTCAAATTGAGTTATCTGTTTCCTATGTGTTACACGAAAAGGTTAATGTTTTGAACATATTTATTAAACTTGCATTTGTGCAGTATTTGTTCCGAACGATCTCAGCATTTTGATTGTATGAGGTAGTTGGCTATTCAACTTGAATTGTTTAATTGTCTACATAAATTCAATAGTAATTTGAGTGTTTCAAAAGTTTACTCTTATGAACTGTACTTAACTTAAGTGTGTACGTAAGTGTATTTCGCAATTTTGGATATTCAACCATAGGCGAACGAAACACGTCAACTAAGAAGAAAAGATGTTGGTCGGTTACTAGCTTTCAATAATACATGTCTTAGAAACCTTGCTTATATATTCTCGGACTGGTTAATGAAGTAATGAATCTTCATCAGCTGTGTTTGGGACATGCGTTACGCATGCCCCATTACTGCCTACCTCAGTGAGTGATGCGGTCTGGTCTAGAATTAGGTTGTAAGAAAGCTAGTAGTGGCCTGATCACATTATACTACCAGTCCATGAAGTCGTCAACAATAAGACTGGACCATGTTGTTAAATGTGAACTACCTGGTTGAAGTCCGCGCAATCACTGTAAACAGTGGCTATTGAAACTCTCAATGACATGGCTCAGATTAATTTGCAATGGCACATGTACATCCATTGTTTGTCTTCCCCTAAAGTGTATAATTTATTGCATTGATTTATATCTTCTTAAATAGTAACCTAGTTCTCTGATCTTTTCTATTACCACTGATACTTTTATTACCTCTGCTGTTCAGGGATTCGGCCTGACAGTTATACATATCTGCGTTAACGAGTTATAACAACTGCACAAGACAATGATATTTGAGTTCATTTTTTTCACATAGATAATGTTGTACATGGAGTAATGATTTAATGACTTCAGGATTATTTGTTCACCGAGTACTGTATTATGTATCAAGTGTAAGCTTCACAGACGGTGTCTGCCTACTTTAGAATTCTGGCATTTGTTCTGTTTCGCGAAAAAATATTCTCGACAGGTTTCTATGGAGTTGTTTTCCTTGACAAAATACTACTTATGATGTTCTTACAATACCCAAAAAGGACCCATTTGATTTGAATGAGGAAAAATGTCTTTAGTTTCACCAAACAAAGATGTCAACTAACCTTTGAATGTTACTTCTCAATATGATTTAAAAAAAATTGAAAATGGACACAAAATTAGATATTTTTCTTTGACATTTATTGTACTTTGTTGTCAATATGAAATAAATTAAGGGGGAATATGTGTTTTAGCTTACAATTTTTAAAAATTTTCAACATTGCTTACTGACCGCCAAAATGTTGATATCATATAATTTTAAAATTGGGTGTAACATATCCCATTTGATAGAGATAAATTTTTAAAAAAAATATTAGAAACTGTACATTAAGTTCATATTGACAAATATCTTTAATTATAAGCTTCCTTAGAAGCTCCATATAAAAATTTTACATAATGATAGACTGAACGAGTTTGTATTTGTTTACTAAACAACTGTATTCCTATTATTGATGTACATTAGTCAGAAAGAACACAATCTCATTCACATTAGTCAGTAAAGTTATTTTAGTTATGGAACAGGAAGATCAGTGGCTACTTCAAAGAACTGCATTTGTTTAATTCTGCATAATGTACAATTTTCTAAAAATACCTATTTTGAAATCAATACCCATCAATTCCAAATATTCCAAACTCTCTGAGTAAATCATCGTTAAACTGTACATTCGTATCACCTCATACTATAGTTAAAATTTCTGTCAATAAATATCTTCATTTGTATAGATGACAATTTACTCTAAATAAATTGATTTTCAGGATAATTTTTTTCTTCAAAATTAAGTGAAGTAGATCTTGAATCATTAAACCTAAACACAAATATTTATGTAAAATAGAAATGCTTTGAACTTAAATTCATGTTGGTCGCAATGAAATTACATTCAAGGAATTGTAATCATGAAAGCTCTTGTGTAATTTACATTTTATTGTGTGTTGTTTTGCATCGGCAATTAAATATTCTTTCTTCGCAATGAAAATAGATCGAATCAAATCATGATTATTTGAATTGAGTTATTTTTAAGCTACTAATTAAAATTGTACCGGTTTTTTTGATTTTTTTGTCTCAAAGATTATTATCTAAATGTTATTGTTGTGATTTTATTTTGTTTCCAGTTTACTTTGTAAAATATATGGTACTAATTCATGTGATTTTACCTTATTGACTTACTTTTAGTTGATCTATGGGAATATTGTAATAATATTGATTTATTATGTCGAACTAAAAATGCTCATTGTGTCCAATCGGACAATCAATCTGAATTGATTCGATTTTCATGTCAATGTAAACCGGGCTATTTGGCTGTTTATCAAAATCATTTAAATTATTATGAATGTTGTAAGTGAATTGTGTCCATGCTGTTTTCTTCTATGAAAACAATATAATTTTGTTTTTGAGATGCATTTGTAAGCGTAAAGCACAATGTTAGTTATGAATAGACAGTTATTGATTATTCTTTTCTAAATGCCAAAATACATTTATAAGTTGTTAGTGTAAAAAAGATGCTTTGAAACTATTACTCTTTATTTCATTTCATAATGAATTAAAGATTGAAACTGTACAAGTGACTAGTTTAGTAATGAGGAATGAGTGAGATCAATTCATTTAATTTTGGAAAATGTAACTCAAATTTATTAAAAATTTCCATGATTTTCATCATTCGCAAACAGTATACCATGACTTCATAATCACAATGATAATCAAGGAAACAAGGAAAATTACAAGTTTTCTCCAAGAAATAAACAATGTAGGATAAAGCAAGTATAAAATTAACAATTCTATACTTGTGAGTCACACAAACACTTTACAAACCATCATGAAAACATAATGACACCTGTATTCTATGTGTCGTACGAACGTCATTTACTTCTGTAGAAAGGATAGACATTCATGGTATAGTGGATAATTTATTACTCACAATTAAAATTGTCAACATCCCTTATGTCTAAACAATCTACTAATTCAGAATGTGTATGAGCAACAATTTCTATCTCGTTTAGAAATGATCGTGAAAACAAATTTCACCGATGTCCTATAAAGTCCAACGATTACCATGAAGTTATCATTACTAATAATAGATTAATTCAATCATATTAACATAACTGTATCAAGATCCGGTTATAAATATCACCTTTTATATAAAATGTAATCAACAAATCATATTCATTGTTGAGGGAACCTCATTTAGCAGCGAACAATAAGGGAACAGTTTTATTCGACATTTATATTAAACATTACATTTTAGTTTGACTACCCATGTTAATTTTTAAAAACGATCTTTTTAACCAGTACCTAAACAAGGCAGAAAATATTGATGTTTAGCAATGTTGCAAGGTGTATAATTTATTCGATTGGGGTTATGGAGATTAGTGTTTGTTGCACATTGAAAATAACTTCATGACATCATTCTACAACCGCTAAACTGTTTGTTCGCTTGGTTTGGCAACTGATGGAGACAGAGTAAGCTTTGACGAATGTGGGGGCGAAAATCATCAAACATTGAGAAGCTCTTATTCGAAAGCACCATCACTTGGTCATTTACTGCCGTCAATCATTTTGAAGTGGAAGAAGAGTCTAAGGGCACCTGAATGTTATCGTTTGCAATCACTTGCCATACTCATGCACAAAGTGATAGTGAACAAATTATGGAATGAGGCTATTTATTGATTTTTTTAATCACACACTAAACAACGTTGGTGAATATCCTTGCGGTTTGCCCTGTTCAAGCATTGGTTAACATGATTGTTTGTCAAAAATGAACACTGATGTGTAATAACTGGTCACAAAAAACAGATAGGCGAATGCAAAACTGATTGTTTATACAAACTAGTAAAAAACATTTATCTTCTTCATTAAAAAGTAAATGGTCATTTGGTGGAAATTGACAAAATAATTTGTCTTTCTATAGTTCTAATATTTAACAGTAGGAGAATGATATCAAAGTAGAAATTTATAGAAACTGGAAAAGAAAAAATACTTATGCATATTGTCAATTATTAATCAAGAAAAAATATAATATTCATTTATGAAAAAATACGCAATTAATTTGTAATTCAGTAGTAAATGACAGTGAAAGTTAGCCGAAAACATAATTTATTGTTAAGACTTCAAATCGTTGCAATGATGATATTTGGACCAAGATTATTTTTGATAAGTTTATGTGTATATACTGAGATAAATGTCTAAATATGGCTATTTGACTGGAAGTATGTTCTAGAACAGATGGATATGATTTTAAAAAAAGAATGAAGCATGGTTGCATGTACAGCTTATTAGTTAATTGGACTAAATAGTTTATTTGATATCTAATTAGGCTTTTAAATAGACATTCACTATATTCAAGTCTGAGTGTGAATAGTGAGTACTGCAATGCTTCAAATGCTACCATCTGACAAGTTCTAAATTGGATGCAAAACCTGTCCTTATTCCACTCCCAACCATAATCCGTCTATTCAATAAAACAATTACTAACTAACATATTTGGATGCTGTATAATTTATGAGGTATTTTACTGTTGTTAAAGTAGTTGAAGCATCAGTATTCTTTATGACATAGTTTAGTAAGGAGTAATTTTATCCGTAGCTTCAAATTAATGTCTTCGTTCATGACATTGAGACCTCAAATTCGAAAATGTGTAGTTAAATTCAAAGATTAATGATAAGGTTTTATTTGATATTGGGAATAAAAAGTACTTTATAGATGATTTATATACAATCCAATTATTAATATAATTTGTATAATTTTACTCGGTATTATTTAACGTCAATAAGTCAATAAATAATTATGTGAATACGTATTTGCAATATTCCAAATATAAATGAACCATTGTTCAACCACTATCAGGAATCTGGAAGCACTGGACCGCTGTGCCGGCATCCGGATGTGTTAACACCTAACTCTGATCCATTTGGGGACTTCGTGCAACCTCACCCATTTGTCTTCGTTAGTTACTGCCTTCATCTATCTGGGTTGAATTCCACTAGCCACGTCCAGAGGTTAGGCGTTCGCGCACTAGACCGAAAGTCCTTTGTCCAAATCCTGAAAGTAGCTGGAGTCGTGGATGCGCACAACTAATTATTTCTATACCAGGACGAAAGGACTTTATATGACTTAGTTGATTCTGTCGTACGAATAATTGATATCTAAAATAATTTATTAACTACTAACTATTGACTGGATTATTTAATGGGTGATTTTTAATGTACGTGCGTCTTATCATATTAGTGGCTTATTTATCAAACCGGTGAATATGAATATCCAGAACTAAATGCACTGACGACGTATAAATGTGAAAACAAGTCGAGTTACAGTTTATTGATTTGTATGAATGTTGGGAAACAGAGCTTGATTAGCTCGGTGATCAAGACCTGTTATTGCTTCGATAGTTACAGGTGTTACCAAATAGGATACTTAACTAAAGTAATAATATATCATTTTGCTATCGAATTTTTAAGATTTGTGGGTAGTCAATAAGGCTAACATAAGATTTGGTAGTATAACGAAATTTTTATTCACATTGAGCTACGTATTTGTCCAGAACACTTCAGATAGTTTCACTGATATGTCTTAATGGAACGAATTCAATGTTAATTCGCCCAAATATACTTAGTTTCAAAATAGCTTCCTAATTTGTTAATTATTGGCGAACAGTAAGTTCCGGAATACCTGTTTCATTCTATTTAAGAGTCATCAACTAGACATTTACGCTCCTCAGTGTTGATTGTTTCGTCCATAAAAATGATTGATAATGTATGATAAAAACGCCTTACTTCCTTACAAAAATATTAACCCTTGGAAGTAGAGTTGATGATTTATTTCAATATGAAATATATAAATATATATATATATATATATATATATATATATATATATATCTAATGCTAATTTTTTTCTAAAATCAATTTTAGTTCGTCAACTCGAAGCGAATCATTCCAGCTGTTCATCATGTATTCATTCAAATGGAAAATGTTATACAATGAATGAACAAGCCATTGAATCAACGATCGGTTGTTTATGCCCAAATAATCTTCAATCAATAATAACATCTTCATTACAGTCTAGCTCAATACAGCATACAAATAAAATTATTGCTACTACTACTACTAATAATAATATTAATAATAATCAGATCATAAGTAACAATATTAATATTAATAATAATAACAACAATGATAATATTAATATTTTGCAGAATAATTATAAATCTATGCTGTCACAAACAACTACAACAACTGCCATGGAATATGAAACATGCGGAGAAAATTTAGGTAATTGTGTATAACTAACACTTCACGCATTCTCTCTCTCTCTCCCTATATATATATATATATATTATTATACAGTCATATGAGAATATCTATCCATCGGTGGATAAACAAGCTTAACTGTCATCTAATCGAAAACAACTAATCATTAATTTCAATGAATAACTCTGTTCGAAATTGAATTTATTTTCTTTCTTGACAAGTAAACACCTGTACTGAATCATAATTATATTAGGCTAATAGAAAATTGTATAAATAATTTGAGAAAGAGAATATATGTATGAATGTATATGGATTGAAGATAAATAAATATTGAGTAGAATTGTGAAATAAAGCGTGCTATATAAGATGTTAACCTATGAGACTAGTCAACACTACTTCAGTGAATAATTTATAATCAAGAAGTAATTGTTTTTATTCTGAAACTAATTAGAGGTTCACAACCATTAATTCGTATGGCTGAAAAACCTACAACATCATAAATCCTACAGTGAGTACAATGCATTCTAAATTGTAAAACTTTTGGTGGCTTAGTTAAATTTTAAATATGGTTCACAACCGTTTTTGGGGATGTTAGATCCCCAGAACTCGCTTGATACATGTCTTTACTTTGGATTTTATTCATAGGCTGATAAGTTGACCTTGAGACCACATTTTCCAACAGGAAAGGCCTTGGCTGTGATTAGTTACTGTGTTATTTTAGTATGCTATTTTTGTGACTGTCCCAAGGACGCCTCTATGGTGTGTAAATAAACGCGATTTGTATGCTTGAATTCATTGTGTGCTGACTGGCTGTTTGTAGAATACACTTTCTACTCTATATCAAGACTTTCCGTTAGTACTTTTAGGTTGTTTCGTTCTCGTTATTCGCCTTAGGTGAACCAGTAATAGTTTTAAGCATACCTAGTTACGAGTGTTACAACTTTAGTGCCCGCGATCTAACTCCAATTCGGAGGAATAATCGAGTATTGGATGAAATGAATCTTCCCTTCGATTTCCGTATATCTTACTTAGGCGAACGTCGCATATGCGACAGTGGTAATTAAAAGCCAAATACAGTTTTGCAGATGAATTTATTTCATTTAAACAAACAGACATGAGTTTGAAAATCTTACAGGTAAGAGTAAGCGAATTGGAGGAGAGTAAGCCAACTCAGTGCGATGAAGCATTACAAACTATTTATAGTCAAACAATAATTGGCTCATTATGTGATAAGCTAAGTAAATTATGCACCTACGCACTCAAAGAAATAAAACCAAGGTTGTAGTCACGTAGATGACAAGTTAAAAAATGTGTGAATAACTTTTGAAGAGTGGATTAATTAATTTGCCTGAAGGCCGAGACAAGCCATATGGGCTAACATGATGGGATACACACTACAAACTGTAACTCATTAGTTTACAATTACCTGTTTAATTGGTTCATTGATGTAACTCTATAAGATGTTTACTCTAAAATAAGTCTTTAGCATTCGTAATAATAAATTTTTAGATAACATTTCGTACTCTCACTGTATCTTGCATCGAAAAATGTCATAATCAGATAACGAATTATAAGTTATTCATTAGTATAAAATAATATTTTGAGTTTTACTATTGAATGCCTTTAACCAAAGTACCAAATGAACGTCATATAAATCATTGCTTGGTGATCAATTACTTGCAAGCATCTTAGTCCAGAAAATGAGATTATTCATATATCAAATACTTTACTGCTAATATGCTGACATGTTTTGAAACTTTAAAAGAGCATAAGTTATCTTATGATTATCGGTACACTTGGTTTTCAATAACCAAGTGACACTTTGTGAACAATCTCCAGTCAGTTAAAATGTCATTATAGTATTGTAGAGATTGTTTAGTTTCAGCGAGTTCATGAACTAATCAATGTCAGACCACCATTAGAAATCTGGAAACACTTGACAACCGATTTGTCCTAGAATAGGGCTCATAAGTAGTGCTCATCCACTAGGCCGCATACAGGAACTGGACCCAGCACCTTTGTTCTCGTGCGACAGTGCTTAATCACCAGACCACTGAGCCAGCATCGTACATTGTTATTGTCTAAATATATTCACTTCTAAGCTCCAGTGGTGATTCTCATAGTTCTATTGTAAAGTCATAAACATCGGATCTCAGATAGGTAGTGTTTGAGGAAGATTTTTTTCACAGACTTTGGAAATAGCTGCACAATCAGGTTAACCTGCTCAGTAGTACAAAAGTTAAACGCGCTACCGGGAAAAAGGATATTCATTCTTGAAAAGCTTCATACTAAGACTGAACAGCTGTCCAATGCTTCCAGCTTTTCAATGCTTGTCTCCTCAATAGGATATGTCCATAATATTAACAATGAAAAAAATAGTCTAATTAACTTATTTTTGAATATATATGAAATTGGTTTCAATTAACAAGTAGTTCAAATTCCATCAAAAGTTCATTTATCAGTTGGGTAGATTACAATAAAAGTCATTTTTATTTGAAACAATAGGCTGAGTTTAACTTGTTCTACAGTATGAACTAGTCATTACTTTGAATATATATCTTCTAAAAACATTTTTATCAAATTAAAAGGAAACGGCGAGTAGTATATCAAATTTTTATTAATCACTTATTGTCATTGTTGCATCCTAGATTCCACCACTAACCAAAATACATCACTGCCAATAATGCTCTTAACCTGATGGCACTATCAAGGCAGTCCGTACAGGATAAAAATATGCCGGAGACATTGATCGGGAGATTCAGACCATCAATACAAATGTGCTAAATAAGATTCATCAAATTTCACACTTGAATATCAACAACGAAGTAACTGAAACTCTTGCTAATGAAATTGAACAAGCTTTTATTTATGCAATCTTTTCGGTTTCGTCACATGTAATTTGTTTCTGTTACATTTTTTTTCTCTAGTTCATGTATTCTGTCAACGACATTTATTGGAAATCTGCTTTTTACCAATCAATCAATCGCCATATGAAAATTTAGCAGAAAATTTACAATTACATCGTACAATAGCATTTATTACAAATTTAACAGTTTATCGAAAATTTATGGATACTTGTACATTGGACATAAAAAATCATGGTGTACAACATAAACAATGGAATCGTACACTATTGAAGTATGATAAGTCACAACAGATTTGGTGTAAAACCATTGACTGGAGACAAGAAATAACAAATATACCATGTGGTATTACTGTTACTGAATATATGGTAAGAAATGTTAGCCGTTCAAATTTATTATATTTTAGCCAAGTGTTTTTTGTTGTTGTAAATGTTTTCTGTTCCAGTTAATTGTAAAAGTTATCAAGATATTTATCAGATGATTTCAAGCATTCTAAAGGACATTTTGCGTGACCAACAGTTCCTTGTTGATTGTCACTCTTAACCTCAAGGTATGAGCTATATGAGGAACCTAATGCTCCTTAAAGAAATCTGTACCAACTCAGTAAGCTTATTAATTTGAGATATCACAGCTGAGTTGTATGGTTCACGATTAATCTCCTGTGAGACTAAGATGATAGTTATAGATAACTGATTATCAAGGACCAGACAGAAATGATGTTAGTCACTACTCACAGATAAATCGATTGCCCGTGATTTAGGATTAAGGAGACATCATGATAATATTTTCTGAAAATGAATTAAAGTATGGTTTAAATTATTTTCACTGGTTAGCATTTTTTTAACAAGGCTACTAACACTATGCAGATGTTAAGCAAAACAAGTACATCATTTTTACAATTGGAAATATCTGAGGCTATAAGAACCAACTCTTGGCCAAAAGCAAAGTCCTAATTTTGAATATAAACATTAAGACCGGCTGTTGTACGAAGCCAAAACTTGGCGAACTGCTGAAAGCATCATCTAAGAGCTACAGGTGTTTATAAACAATAATCTACGCAAGATATTAAGGATTTGTTGGTTAGACACTGTAAGCAACAACCTACTATGGCAGAGAATAAGTCAACTTCCAGTTGAGGGAAAAATTAATAAAGAGAGCTGGAAGGGAATAGTGTGCGTATGGAAATAAAAACTGCATCAAGCTCCAAGCCCTAACTTGGAATTCACAAGGCCAAAATGAACGAGGTAGAATGAGGAACACATTACACCGAGAATTAGAAGTAGACATGAAAAGAATCAATAACACCTGGGGGGGGAACTCAAAGGATGGTGGAAGACAGAGTTGCTGATCGGCAGCCCATATTCCACGAGAACTAATCGGTGTAAGGTATTAAGTATTTGGAAGAATGAGAATTATGAACTCATAAAAATACTATGACAGTCAAGTGGTAGGCTCCATGCAGAGGCACAAGTAAACATTCATCATTCCATTGGTTACTGTTCTTCAATAAATAAGAAAAATGTAATTATTTGCAGGCATTTCATATTATTCAGTAAGCATTATATTCTTAACACTATTTTCCATAAAATGATTAGTTAAAAATTATCGAAATAAAAAAGTAGTTTAACTAACTGATTACTAATTCGATCATTTATGAAATAATAAAATATGATTTTCGAATTTTAGTTAATTAAATTTCATAAATGTAATCTGTGTTTTGTTCTCTTTTGCTCTCAATTAATCTTATTTGCATAGATAATAAGTAAATTATTTTAATTGAGTAATTTGTCAATATTAACAAAAAAAAATATTCATAAATATGTGTTAATTCATGCAGTCATTGAAGTAAAAGCACATGACTATTTGCTGCATTTTTTTAAATTCGAAAACTGATAAACAAATGATTTTTCGTTTTGATCATGAATCAATGATTTTTAGACCAACATTAGGAACCTGGAAGCTCCGAACGACCTATTCGTCTTGATATGAGACTCACCAACTGTGCGCAACGACGACTCCCGGTACTCACTGAAATCTAACAAAGGGACCTTCGGTATCTCGCACGAACGCCTAACCTCTTGACCAGTGAGCTGACATCCAATGGTCTTAATGTCTACGTGTGATCGATCTACGTATTTTTCGCAAAATCTCAACGTAAAACAACAATCTGCGAAATAGCATACGAATATCATACAATGTGCTCACTGGTGACTAGCTTCATGAAGAACTCCTCGGAATTCTGGTGACATGCCGAGTTTAACCCTATCGTCTGTGAGCAGTAACTGCTAAAGACAACGGATCAGGTTGAGCGAAATCCTTACATTGATCAAAGTTAGATATTGACACCAGTGTATTCCAGCACAGTCGTCTGTAAATTAAACGTTCACGCGCTAGACCGACGATACTGGTTCGATTCACGTGCGCGAGGGTCGTGAAAGTGCACTGCTGAAGAGTTCCATATCAGGACGAACCGATTATCCAGAGATTCCATGCTTCAAATGGTGATCCAACAATAACTGATTCATGATTTTGATAGGAAACCAAAATTTCCATAAGATTATAAAGAAATAGTATTCTGTCTTACATAGCTGAATATGCTGAATAACAGTGTGAGGTGCTACATCTTTCATAAAGATCGTTTGAAAACTGATTATTATAGCTTCAATCTGTAAAAGAAACAAATAATTCCTTCATGGTCACTGAAGAACATTATCAATCAAGATATATAGGTCAAGGATATTCGTACAAACTACTTCGAACTTCTGAGCATAGTGTATATGATGTCAAGTTAATTAGAATAATGGTAACAATGCAATTTAATGAACAATATTTGATGACCACTATAAGATTAGAAATGGGTAACCCTTTGTCATTACTCACTGACGAAACATTGATAGAATAAATGAAATTTTAGAAGAGTTTATTGCTTCGAAATTTATTGATTCTGTTTTGAATGACACATTATTAATATTTAAATCTAAATTCTTGTCAATATATTTGAATGATATTAATTAAATATTAGAAAATTATCATTCTAGAATGTAAATAATTTATTTAGTGATGTAAATGATAGCAATTTTTTGAATATCACTGACAAACATTCAAATATGATGATGACTACAGACATTAAACATACTGAATACAATCGAAAATGATCGACCAATTATTGTGGATGAATTGAAATCAGACATTAAATATCGTTGGATGCCAATTCAGTGGTTTATAAGTGAAGAACCATGTGTCAGAATGAAGGTTCAATTCCCTCTCGCCAGGTGATGGATGCTCACTGTATAAAAGTCCCATAGTGAGACGAAATAAACGTGTATTGTTCCAGGTTTTCGATGGTGGTTAAATCTGTGTGCATCTATGACTTCGGTGAAATCAAGCGTCCATTGAGGTTTCACCTAAATCCTGATTGTCTGTAATGTTGCTTCACTTACCTGGAAACCCGATATTTTCCATCTAACATTTGTGTACTCTCTGTGTGTTTACTGGTGCTTTTTGTTTAAAATGAAATGAGATGACATGAGAAAATGAACAAATCAACGAGTTTCTTGGGTTTATACTTTAAAAATGGGGCTCCATTCCTTGAACTGAGTGATTTATACAGAAAGCTCTTATTGCTTTGCTGAGTAACATCATTAGAATATAATTTAAATTGAAGTGAGATGTTAGAATTGATCTAACGACTTGTTCTGTCTAGCACGATCATGATTTGTTTTTTTTGACTCTTACTCTTTTCATTTGACTCAATTCTTTACTACCCTCTTCCCCAAGATGTACAACTTGTTAAACTTCATATCTACAGTCAACTTCATATGAAATCGATGATCACATAAAAATAATTCATAGTCAGAATGTACCAAAGAACTGTTTAGCATCAACAAGCGACTATAGGGCCGAGTATACCTAGGATGTTCGTATCTCTTGACTAACAATCTATCTTCACATTGATTTCATAAACATTTATTCACTATTGTCAAAATCAATAGCTTCCACTGGCGAAACTGATTACACTAAATGATCTTATATTGAAAATTATTTAATTGGAAGACAGCTGCAATATGTGACTTCTTAATAAGCATATTCTTACAAAATTAATCAAATCTTACAAACTTACATAACCCTAATATTTATACAATATTTTATTCACACATAATGTAAACAATTTGATTTGAAAGTAAATTTACAATTGTTCAATACTTCATTGGAATACTTTAATAGTTTCCTTGTTTTAATGTAACAGTTTCAAAAAAGTATACTGACTTAACGTTAAAGAATTAAGTATTTTATTATAAACGGTATAAAGATTTAAATTTTTCAGAGGATAGAGAGCTGGTGTTTATTTATTTAGTTTTTCGATATGCAGAAAATACAATTAGAATTAGACTTGTTATGATGCATATCTTTCTCATCGTTCCCAGTTAAAGTACGATAACATCTGAACATTGATTAGTTTTTATTATCTCATTAGTTGGTGAAAACAATTGTAGTGTTACGTTGAATGGTTTATTTATTTCAGTCAATAAACTATCGGGCTACAAATTTGTTACGCGATATTGCTATTTTTGAATACCTAATTCAACATTTAAACCCGGATCTTCTGCTAGGCTTATAACTAAATTCGTATTATTACATGACAAAATGCATTGGATGTTATTGTTTACTGGTGATATGTTTTCTATAATGAAACAATATTATAATAATCAGTTTTTTGATGTGGTCGGATTTTTGTTTTACGTCGTATGATTGATTTTTGATAGGTGTAGGCTATGCGAATGAGTTCTCGTTGATATTTAACAGAAAATGTTGTCTACAACCCTAAAAAATTCACATTTATTCAAAACCAGTGAACAATAATCTCAAGTAGCTTTAAGGAAACCTAGCACCATATTAGTTATAGGCAAATACTACTGAGAAACTGGAAACCCAGCCATAAGACACTCAACCTAAGTTGTTACGTTGTATTATTAAATGGAGATGAATGTGATTGTTGAAGTGGATAATATGGATTTCAAAAACTTGCATACTGTAAATAAGCTTTTTATGTATGGAATAAGTAGTAAACTTTATATTGATTTCTTTTACAAGTAGGCAAATAGTTAGTTTTTTGCTGCATTCCATCGTAATAGAGAATCTAAATACAACTTGAATTAGCAGGCCTGACTTTTACAGTGGATGAGATATGTCCTTTGCTAAATACTGGTGAGTGATAACTATTAATAAAAGTAGTTTACTGAGTGAACTTTTTATTTAGGTAACCAGTGAAAACCAAGGAGCACTGGAAGGCAAGGAAACGTTTAGCGTTTTGTATCAGTGAGATCCACCTGGAAACGAAACAAACACCTTCGGTCTTACAGTGAGCAATTAACCTTTGAGCGGATATTTAGTGGTGCATATGTCTAAATTCGATAAAATCGTGACCATGTTCTACTGTCTTTTAGTAATATTAATAGATAACAGTGCTACATTCGATATAGTTTAAGTTCACTAAAACCGGCTTCTCTGTTGTAATCGCTTTCAAAATTAGTCCCTAAGGAGCACAAGATTTTAATTGTTATCAAGAGAGTATGGGAAGATTGGTGAATGTTCATAATTTACATGATAGACTGAGTTGAACAATCACAGAATTCCAAGAATCATTAATGAACTGTTTAGTCTTGGTTCAGATTTGCTTACGATTGCACATCTAGGACCCATCTATAATATAAAATAAGAAAATTCAACAATTTTCATCAATTCTCCACATTAGTATTATATATATATATATATATATATATATATATATATATATATATATATATATATATATATATATATATATATATATATATATATATATACACATAGGTATTAACATTTTGTCCAGTAGTGTATACGACCACTTGTTATATTAGTATTCGTAATAAACACATTCATATTTTTTTTCCCTTTTTATAGACTGGAGACTTGTATACAGGTTATTTGGCTATAGTCACAAATGAAGAATATCGTAATCATGAAATTGATCTTTTGTTTCAATTTACTTGCAAAACAAATAATGATGTGCCTCACAGAGTACCTGGACAAGTTTTTGAAAGGTAAGCATACAATTCTAATGTATATGAATATATCACACACTTATGAACTGTTGATTAAATAAATTACCTTACAACTTAGATTGACTGTGTGTCTTAGTATGTGTCAGTCTGAACGTACACCGCCATGGTATGTGGATTTCTGAACCTCGTGGTATGCAGCTAACTTTCGTTCAACTTACAGTTGAGCAGTATCGTGAATTCATTGTAAGTAAGAGCATATGGAACAGAATAACGAATTGTTAATCTGAAGGCTGAGTACACATTGTGGGACCTCATCATTCTTGATTTAATCTTCGACGGCGCCACAGGGAAATATTGTACAACACTGGAGTAGCTGTTATAAATTACAAATAAGAAGGCTATAATATTTTTTTGTTCTTTAAAAGTTTAAAATAAAATGATTTACAAATTCTGAGTGCTATTTTAGTTCCTTTTTATTTATAGCGTCATAACTTATTAATATTCTTTATAATGGATAATTTAGACATAATTAATGTGTTGTTCACTAGTCTCAATTTTCTCTTTTGATGTTTCTTGCTTTGTTAAAATTTTTTAGCGCATTTATTTCGAAATTTTTTACTGAAATTAATCTATAAACTCTATGCTGACTGAAATTCACTCAATGCATAATTCAAGTCCGTTTACTGCCTTAAAACAAACTCATAAAACTAACCGGAAGCAAATAAAAAAAAATAGTCCAATGACGGAATTCGTTAAAAAGTGATACCTATTCAGAAAAACAAAAACCGACAATATTAAAAAATATACACTTGGTAAATAGAAAAAATATATATATATCTATATATGTATATGTATAGCCGATGATGGTGTCTCGTGTACTATTCACCTAGAATGTCTTTTTATGTACTTTTATCATACTTTCCCAATTCATTCATTCATTCATTCGGTTGAAATAGTTTCATGTCAAATAAAAGTGTATGAAAACACTGGAATGAATAGTAAATCTAACGTTTGTTCTATCTGTCTGGTTATCTAACTGCTGGTTGTTGTTTGTCCTATTTCCTCCTCCTCCTCCTCCCCTTTTTTTATGATGACCAAATAAAACTACACAAAAATTGTCCTTTTTTTATTAAAGAGAAAAAAATATTTTCCGGAATTTAAATCAGTGGTAGACGTGACATGGTCAGTTTTACTGGGTACGTCTTAGAGACATAAGCGCACACATTGATATCCTTTAACATAAACAGTAATATATATATATATATATATATACTATCATATAGAATAGTCAAACGTGGTAGTATTCAATAACTTGACATTATCAACTAATGATTTTACCGTTTACAATAAAAACGTAAAAGAAAAACTTTGGTTTAAAAATAGTCTCAAACATATATATATATATATATATATGCATACATAGTACGAAAAATGCTACTTATTGCATTACATAGTTTGTACAGTATACTTTAATAAGTTGTAAATTATTTATTATGATTGTCTTATGATCATTCAGTAAATGGTATCATTTCATCCATTGATATAGAATATAAATCTTACATTTAGATATGAATTGTATTGTACTGAATCAATTCATGTTTTGGTTTACATTTTGAAAAATAGTGATTTTAATGCATGAATGAATAAGTGAAATTTTTTTAAACAACCATAATTATTGAGGTGTTATTTTCAATATGAAATCTTTTAAAGAAATAATCAATAAGAAAATACATATTGGTCATTGTACAATTTATTAAAGAAATGCATAACTAGGTTTTTTTTCATCTGTTTTCAATTAGCCTTGAACATTGATCAAGTGTTCAGTTATCAACAACAATTGATCACATTGATCTCATTGTAAATTGTTTATGTTTGAATAACTCTCAGTAAATTTATTACAACGTATCTGCACATCACTGAAGCATTTCATTTATCAATAATGAATTTTACAGTAGTGTGTGTTTCTTAAGTGTATCATTTTAGGGATATTACAAAGAGTCCTGTTAGATAGACCTCTAGCCGCTAAAATGGACGATAATCACATAATATGTCCAGTTCATTGAAGTTATAAATGAATGAGAACTTAGTAGTCAAAAGGTCGTTGCTAAACCTACAAGTCCAAAGTTTAATCTCTGGTGAGGTCTTAGCTGGAAGTGTTGTAATAGGACCACCGGTCGAGGTCAGTTTATAATGCGACATAAAATGACGACTCTTAATTAACTCTACTATGATTTCATATAGAGCAGATTGTTTCGTCCAATGATAAGGAATTATTAAAACCAAACAAATTTATAATTTTTCTGATCCCATATTTCAATACCGCTTTGTTGATGTATAGACATTTCCTTGACCCTGATACTACTGTGTTCCATGAATAAGTTAGATAAGATAGTGTCTCATATGTTTTGAAGCCACATCAGTTTAACAGTGAAGGTACACAGCAGTTTTACCTTACAACTTTCATTAATTTCTGACCAAAACTCTAAACCCATGTCTTTAATTCTAAACGAAAAGTAAATTTACTTCGGTTTTTGTAAGGATTCTATTCACCATTGTTCTTTCAGTTTACTGACAAAATAACATAAAGAAACTGTTGATAGCTTGACTTGCAAATATCTGTTTACTATTAGCAATATTGTGGTGGATGATATTCACAGGATCACTCATATGTAATACGTAACGAAAGGTAGCATAGCGATTGTCAGTGTTGAGTTTCAAAACATCAAAAGCAAAGAGAAATGAGATAAGACTGCCTAGGACAAACTTGGATTGCAAACAACATAACAAAATGCAACCACATGACTGAAGACTAGTTGTATATATGGTATCAATATTCTATCATTCTGCTAGAGAGTGTTTTCTTCTTCCACTACTATGTTTTTGCGTTGAACTTCGGCAGCAATCAGAAAACCAGGACGTTCCAATTCGCCAACTCGTAAACAAAGTCAAATGCCACATTCGCCCAGCGCTGTAACTGCGCCTCTAGAATTACCACCTTTAAGTTCCTCCCAGTGCAGTTCTGCTAGTTCTGCTTTGTCATTTAACTGCTGTAGCGAACTTCCAAACAAGAGAAACATAAATAAAAGCTGAATTATGTACTTCGATCATTTGAATTCAAACTGAATTCTAGACTACAACAACCAAATATGTAACATTTTCAAATTTATAATTATTTCTTTAACTAATTAAATAACCGTCGTGTAATATTGTTTGTACTATTAATTTTCAATACTTTATTGCCTGGTTGCAATGACGCAATCTTACTCTCATCATTTTATCCATAACATACATGTATGATATTTGGTAAACATGACATTTCATTTCCTATCACTTTGCCTTTCTAATGTACATATTTCATTTTTGATGTATATCATCAAATTTGTTTGTATGTGATCCTTTTGCCTGCCTGGTTTGTTTTTTCAATCTCTCACTCGTCTCCTCTACTCTTTTCGCCATTGTTTTTCGTCTATATTCATTTATTCTCTTATCAAGACATTTGTTTGTCTGTATGAAACTTTATGCCATATCTTGACTGTCATCAACGTCTCAGGCGTAATGTCAGTATAAACAATTACCGTCTTATTTGTAATCATAATATTCATAGATAATCAAGAATTCAGACATTTTTTTTTTAACGTTTAGAAATTCCCTAAATTTCAGCAATAACCAATGTTTTTTTTTCTCTAGAAATAATACATGACATTACTTAAAAACACAATATGCTTGATAAAACTAAAATGAATTAATTTGTCATTAAATTAATGACAATAATTACAGAAAGATTAAAACAGAGACAATATCATCATCATCATCATCGTCATCATCATTATCATCATCTTGATTACGTCGTTTACAAATTCTACTGTTTTTAAACGATTTAACACACAACTCCACCTTTGTTTAGTGAATTCAGTCGAGTTAATTGTTAGTTATTAATTCTTTATTGAACAATAAAATAGAATCTGACTTAACTGAAAATTAAAGTTGAATGACGCAATAAAAATGTGTATTTTTATATGCAAATAATCAGACTCGCACACACACACACACCCACAGTAGCGTCATGCATCAGTATAATTAACTACAGAATTAATGAAAAAAAAATGTTCTCCGAGTATTGTGAACGAAACCAAACACAATGATGTATCTCATTCAATGGTGAAGTGGAGTTTTTTTCTTTTAGAAAAACAATCAACACACACACAGATAATTATCGTACAGTTTTTCCTCATCTCTCTCTCTCTCTCTCTCCGTTTCCCTCTCTATTAAATTGTAGACAGATGAATACTAATAGTATTTTGATTGTTGAAAATGTATCATTTATCAGATAGAAATAAAGTAATTTATCAAAATACACTTGAATAAATAATTCTTCGGCTTATTTTATAAAATATGTCTTTCCAACGATTGATTATGCCGTATGTTTGATGATGTTCTCTTCTTTGAATTAAATGGTTCAGTCTTAAAGATTTCATAGTTTTTTTGTGACGATATCGTCAACATCTAGGTCAGTTATGATTCAATAGACACGTTGAAATCAATCCAGTCTTTCAGCTGGTAAAAAACAAACTTCATAATTTCCAGGTCAGAAATCAGGTTGGTAGAAAGAACAATCAAGACAAATATACAAGCGACGTCTACACAGTTTTGGACTGCAAAGAACCGAATTTCGGCAAAACAGAATCAGTTATCGGTTAATCAGGTAGAAGCTCGAATAGCTTTCGTCATTTTGAAGTTATTGCTGACAATGTGGTCTCTAAGGATCGTTAAAGCTTCCTGAGCAAACCATTCACTTCAGAAAACATAACAGTCCTAAAATCCTGATTCTCGATACAAATATTCGCCATCATATCTGGAGAGACAAGATAGTCGAAATGCACAGAGAAGATTATTATGACAAGCAATAAAAATATTCATTTTATGCATAGTGGATGACTGATATTGAACAGATGGAAAGTAGGCAGAAAATTTAAATAGTTCTGAACTATTTTGTAACATGACAAAAAATCGAATTGTGGATTTATAGTTTCTCAATATGA